TGACCAGTCAGGACTAGGCGACCTTTTCTTGGTTGTAGATTTGGCAGACGCAAACCTGCTGGAAAAGCTTGACCTGGTCTCAGGAGAGCGGGACCCGTATTTGGAAGGCTGGTCCAGGAATGACATGTCAGGACTAGGAGACCTTTTCTTAGTTGTAGCTTTGGCAGACGCAAACCTGCTAGAAAAGCTTGACCTGGTCTCAGGAGAGCGGGACCTCTTCTTGGATGGCTGGTCCATGAATGACCAGTCAGGACTAGGAGACCTTCTCTTGGCTGCATGTGTGACAGATGCACAACTTGACTTAGTCTCTGGGAGGCTGTACATCTCACTGAAGTTGGATGATGGAGGATCAACCACAGACAACCTGGCAGGGGTCGAAGACCTTGATTCAATCTTAAACACTGGAGCAGGCGTCTCATCTTGGAGCCAGCTGAAATCTGGAACCGGTGACACAGATGATGCATTTGATTCAGTTGCCTCCATCAGGATTACATCTGGAGATTCTTCCACGACTGCAGATGTTAGATGTTGAGAGCTCTCAGTCCTATTGATGGTAGGAGGCTCACCGAATGGGAAGCTGCCAGACTTTCCTAGGTTAAGTTGATTGGACATAGATGCTTGGAACGCTGCCCGCACAAACCCAAGTACATCAGCTAACATTTCTGTAACAGAAATGAAATATGGTCACTAACAAGTATAAATTCAGAAGGTTACCAGACACAAGGCAAAAGTAAACACAGAGGTTGGCTCAAGTATAGATGCACTAAATTATAATACTAAATTTACTGCACTCGCAGTTGCGGAAGACAATGCGTCAACACCAGTCAACTGTCACAGCCAAAAATACTTCAAAATAATAAGAACTGAACTGATATCTATCGAAACAGAAGCAATTTTTTTTCTGGTCGCCATGTTGACTAACTTTGAACTGCCTTTACATCTGCTAAATTAAGTTCAGCCTTGCAAAGGTATAGAATGAAAAATAGCTCTCTCAGTAGCACTCAGTAGCTCACAAAAGTATGGCATGAGAAATACCTATGTAAACAGGTATTTCTCATACTCTCACAAGGCTATCTTCAGTTCTGAGTGCAATTACAGTACTACATAGTTAGGCACTTCAAAGTTTGTAAATACCTTGACGACGCTGCCCATACATCGAGGGAGGAAAATATTCGTTCATGGTCGCAACAGCTAGAGGCGTGGATGCAGGGACCAGAGAGCCTCTCACATCACCACAAGCGGCCTGTCAAAAGACGACAAACAATTAGGACCAGGAAGAAAACAGACATTTACCCAGTGAAAAGAAAAAGATCAAAGTGTGGTACCACACCTTTCCACAGAACACATACCATGTTGGATGGATGACAATCAGCAAACAATGGAGTTGAGTTCACAGATCGAGTTGTGGCATCAGCTGATGGAGTTGTGGCATCAGCTGATGGAGTGGTGGCATCCGCTGATGGAGTGGTGGCATCCGCTGATGGAGTGGTGGCATCCGCTGATGGAGTAGTGGCATCAGCAGATGGAGTATCATCATCAGCAGATGGAGTGTCATCAGGAGTGGAGTCCACAGATGGTGGAGCGGATGAGCTTCTGCGTTGTATCGCCTCCAGGCAGAGACGCCTCCTCTGATCAGCCATTCTGAAATACCAGTACATATATTACAATCTGATCATTTGATGGATTCCCAGAGGACAGACATTTGTGACTGATATCATTTAACATCCTTTAACATTTCTGAATATGACTAGATTTGGACAAAATCATAATTACACAATCTCAACTGTCAGAAATGATTTCACCATATGACAAATTCCTGCGGTCTCTCTTGTAACTCGAAACCCAGACGTTCCTTATGTAAATCTTAAGAAAATCAGACACTGGGTCTAGGGGAGTTCGTAGGTTATGTTGGATATAGGGCGTGATTAGTGCGGATCCTAATGACTTCTGCACGGCTCTGCGGCCGCGTCCGTCCGCAGCGAACTATTGACTCTGGGAGGGAGATTTCAACTCGGATCAGTATGAATACTCAAAACCGGAAAAAAAACCTGTGGGTGCAGTAGAAGAGACTTCCGAAAGAGCCTTTCCTACCAACCATTCCCGCACAATACGCATAGCGGGTAAAGGGCCACACGTGCTGCAACGACCACGACGACTGACGGCACTAACGGCTGCCAGTTGCTTTCGTCAGGAAGAACGATTACGAAAAGTACGAGGCTTAAATAGGAGCAATTACAAGTGTAAAGGGATCACCAACAGTTATGAAATCAGCCTGAACGAAATAAAAACCCCGCGGACACCGAATACGCTGAGTGTAAGGGCAGTCTCATAGAGCACTTCCCACTTCAACACCCATTGAAACAAGACTCTACCAGCTAATACTATAAAACACACAGGAGGAAAATTAACCTCAAATCACCTCAAATAATAAAAATAGGGTCAGCTCCGAGGGCTGGAGAACTAACCCACTCACAAAACGACAGCGATAATCAATGGATTGTGCAACACAGGATGGATAACACGATACATACCTAACGATGGATCAATGGAAGATGGACGAGTTACTTCGGTCGGACGCTGAAGACAAATGAACGAGAGAACGGTTACCTGCCACTTCCGGAAGAGGCCTGGTGGAGGGGGAACCAATGCAGTGGGAGTGGGGGCGGCACCTCCATTGTGACCAACAGTCACACCTGGACTCGCTGCATGGCTGCGTACCCCGGCTCTTGGCGTAAGCATTAAAAAATAAGACGTTGAAAAACAGAAGCGAAAACATGATTCATGAAAATCATGACAAAAACTCAAAACAAAGATAGGCAATGAAAGGTGCGGCGGTGGTTGAGACACTTGAGTCACGTAGTGGTGGTTGCGGCAGGTTGGCCAGGGAAGGGGAAGGAGAGAGGGGGGAGAAGTCAGAGAATAACCTTCCTTCTTGGCCACCAAAAGTTTCCATTCAATTTTTAATTAAGTAATAATACGCACCCTAGAACCCTACCATGGAGAATCAGAATCATGGAAAATGTATGTGCTTCTGCCTTTGTAAGTGTGCCGGTTGTATTGCCCTACTTCGGTCCATAACAACATGCGATTGCACATCTTGTCAAATACTTCGGTATGTTGCGTATCTCAGCGTATTTTGTTTTCAAATTACCGATGACCAGAATCTCATAATTCTTTATTTCTCATTGTCCATCTTTGCTTAGCTTCATGCCTGTTGAGGATAACGCAACTGAGCATCGCTGCATTGCAAGCTGCAATTGCCAGGTGTGCGAAGCTGTAAGACTTGCTGCGCGGCGAGGTGGCTGTGACTGCCTAGCGTGCACCGTTTTGGGACATAAAATTTAAAGCAGCCTGTGTGAAATAATTGTGTTTAGGAAGTAAACATCTTAGTGTGAACGTATGTTTTAGCTTCTACTTGCGTAGAGCAAATGGGTCAGGCTACTAAATGTTTGAGAAGTAGTGTATTTTGTATCCAAATTTTCATTTGTGTTGCAACGATCATGTAATGATACCTTAAGGAAAAAAGTCTGACTGACATTTATAAACAATTTCCTTAGCTGTGTTTGCATGTAGCCATATTATTATGATTCAGCCATTTGTCTGTTCTTAAATTTTAATTGTTTCTAACTATCATTGTGGGATTCGATGATTCTTATTTTATGTTTTTACGTTGGAGTTGCCTCCACTTTTATTTTTAAGTCGAGGCCATAGCTGACCTTATTCTTTGTTTCAGTTTTAATTGTGTGTTTTTCCGTACTCAGTCCAAGCACTGCCTAGCAGTGAACTTGTCTACTTGGATCGTATCATTATTTTCAGAAATACATTTGTTCCTAGTTTTATGTTTTGACCTACCTAGTCCAGGCATAGCTGCTATAGCAGTGAACTGTATCTTGTACTACAGTGTTTTTTTATTTTGATAATTTTCAGAAATAAATTTGTTTCTACAATACATAATTTCCTGCCTTTGTCCCATGCCTTCCTGTCAATTGAGTATGCAACGTTGGGGAAGGAGCAGAAATTGTTAAGAACTATGAACTTATCTTTATAATTTATTTCTATTGAGATCACAATCAAAATGCACAATAGCCACCGTATACGATAATGAAAACTTTCAGTTCCTCCTACTTGGCAATTATCTGTTGTGATTAAATGGGGCAGAAGGTTTTTTTCAAAACACAATAAGTTGGAGAAAGGTATGAACAGTTCAAAAACTTGGTAGTTAACATAGTTGTACGAAAGTGTACAACCCTTCTTGCAGGCAGTAGAGAAAGTTCAGGGGCAATTATCTTGTTGAGAAGTAGCTCCAGATTGAGGTTTTTATAATTGTACACATTCTCCCTCATGCACACGCAGTCCGACTTCGTGGCCCTCCTCGAACATCACCAGGTTGACGTCGCCGCGGTCCAAGAGGCGCGCATCTTCGCCGATCAGCATCGCCTCGGGGACTACGAGGTGCTCTAAGGTCGCCACCCGGACGGGCACGTTGCGGCCCTCTTCTTGCACAAGAGCCTTACTTACAGCCCTCTGTCTCTCTCCCTCCCGGACCCGATGGGGCTTGAAACAGCCGCCGCCACCGTTCACCTGAACGTGGGCTCCGTCACCATTGTCAGTGTGTACGCTCTACCCGGCAATAGGGTCCCGCCTGGCCCCTACTCTCTGCATCAGCGCCGCCGGACTCTGTCTTCCCTGGCGACTTCAATGGCCACCACCAGGTGTGGGGCAACGCGACCACAGACGCCCGCGGCCGCGCCTTCCTGGACTGGACCTCCCGCGCCAACCTGGTCATCCTGAACGACGGCACGCCCACCCGCCTCGGCGGGGTGGGGCAAGCAGACACAGCCCTGGACCTCGCCATCGTCCCACCCTCCCGCGCCCTCGCGGCCCGGTGGGAGGTCCTTCCTGACGCGCTCGGCAGTGACCACTGGCCATGCCTGCTTGAGATCCCCGTCCCGGGCAATCATCGTCCCATTCCCCGCTCCACCTACAGCACGCGCACCTGGGTCCTTAAGGACGCCGCCGCATGGGATCGGTACACTGAGTATCTCCTCCGACATGGCCCTGCCCGTCTCGTCTTGGCTGGTGGCCGGTACGAGGACCTCGAGGCGCTTATACACAACGCTGCTGACGCCTCCTTCCCCCGGCGCCAGATGTGCGCCCCTGACAACCCGCGCCACACCGCGCAGCGGTGGTGGACCGCCGAATGCACAGCAGCCGTCGAACGGCGACGGGAGGCACTTGATCGCTTCAAGCGGGAGCGCTCTGCGGAGGCGTATGAACGCCTCACCGCTGTAGCCCGAGCCACCACCAACTGCCTCAAGTATCATAAGAAGGCGTCCTTCCGGAAGATCCT